CTCTCTGTGATTTAAGGTACTATGTAAGACTATGTCATTCAACTTCGATGTACATGAGGAAATTAAGGAAAGAGACACTCACTGAAGACAGATTAAAAGGAAGACTTTGCACTTAACCCCTTTTATCTTTAAACAGATTGAACCTAACCGGTTCCAGAGCGCAGGGAACAGAACAGCACTGACTCAGGCCATCAACACCAGCCGCTGCCACATCTACATCTGCCCCCCAGGGCTGCACTGCTTTTTCAGAAAAAATAATGAAGCCCTGAGCTGACTCATTTGTCCTAACCATAGACTCTCTAACAAGCAAGCAGAGAATAACAGAGCTTTCAACTCTCTAGGAGTTCAGTTCTTTCTCTATGGTTACCTTTTTTCTCTCCGCAATTTTCTTTAATACTTGACACTTGAATCATTAGAAATACTAAGTCATTATAATGAGGAGTAAAGAGATGGTGACAAATTTATAGGACACAACTTTGGCTTTAAAAAATAAAGGCCATGTGCCCCAGAGTCCAGGGTAGGTAAATGGAACCACATTTCTATGCATATAAAAATACTTTTTGGGGCTCCTGGATGGCTCAGTCGGTTAAGCATCCGACTTCAGCTCAGGTCATGATCTCACGGTTCGTGGGTTCGAGCCCCGTGTCAGGCTCTGTGCTGACAGCCAGCTCAGAGCCTGGGGCCTGCTTCAGATTCTGTGTCTCTCTCTCTGACCCTCCCCTGCTCACACTGTCTCTCTCTCTCTCTCTCCAAAATAAATAAAAAACATTAAAAAAATAGTTTTTAAAAAAGTGCTTAACAGGTCATATGAGGTTATTTATGAAAAAAATCTTTGGAGCATCTTAATTGAGTCTACAACTAAAAACCGTCAAGACTATGCGAGAAGCTTCTTCAGGAAACTTATTCAAATACTTCCCAGAAAGCAAGAACCTCTCGGGTTTGGCAGAAGAAAAGAGCTTACCAGCCAGGCCAACATACTATTTAATGTAAGCTCGATCTGGCACTGTGGAAAATTTATGTGGGGATCATATACACAGAAAACTTGACCATGTTCCTTTCATCCCAAGGGCACATGTTTCTATTTCTAAATACAGTGTATAAAAATCACTAAGTGAGATACATTCTACTTTTATTTATTATTTTTAATGCCAAGAATGGAAAGTATATGTTTGATTATTCTTTCTTCAACTTAGTTTCTATTTAGTGTTCTACGCTCTTGCCCTAGACAAAGTTAAAAGGGACCACATATATGGTGATTTAGAGATTTCATCATCTTAAACTTCGGCTATCTGCCAGTAAAGACATTTTACCACAGACTATAGTTGTGCTTCTCTAAGACTGATTTGCTACAGAGCAGGACTCAGGGACCATGGTCCTTTGGCCGAATCTGGCCAGTCACCTGTTTCTGAAATAGCCTATAGGCAAAGAACAGTTTTTACATTTGTAAATGGCTATATTTTCAGTGGTTATATAAGTACCTACATAGTAGCCTCCACTTTATCTCTTGGCCAGCAAAGCTTAAATATTTACTATCTGGTTTTTTTCAGGAAAAAGTTTACTGAGCTCTGCTATTGAGGCTCCTGGTTGTATCTGTACTGAGACCAGCTACAGTTAACGAGAAGAGCGCTCCATTTACAAGATCTATGTTAGTGGTTAAGGCCTGTACTTTCTAAGACATTCCCTTCTCATGCCGATCTCAGCCCAAAAGTAAAAAGCTGGGTCATATTTATCGAACTACATTAAAAATGCAAATCTTTATAAAGAAGTAATTACACTGCAAAAACTGCTTTGATATTTTTAATAATGTGCATCAAAAATGGCTTAGTTATAAACTTTTTAGCTTTCATTTTAAAGATTAAGTTTGGGGCAAAAAATTTATGAGATCCACCACATAATTCTTCATACACACTGAAGTACAGACCTAAGTATCTACTTTTACCATTTTTAATGTTGGGGCCATTTCTTTACTCTAACTGCACTGGCCTGACTGGGCCTCTCGAGTGGTAGCAATAAGGGAACTTCAAGACACGTGTCCCTTTGGTGGGCATTTGATCGAAGTATAAAATGTACCCTTAGATCCTAAAAATCAAATACTATAATTTTTACAGCAGAACTTCGAAATCTCTTATCCCTATGGAAACAGAAATTCTCAAAAATCATACACCTACTTACAAGCTGGTAAATAGTTCTTTTCATGTTCTTAAGAAGCAAAGTATCTTAAACTTTCTCTCTTTAGGATAAAGGTCAACATACCCAATTCCTTCAATTTAGAAGATAAATGGGCAGTTGTCTTAAGGATGAAGAATTCTTAGAAAGGTGCAGAAATATTAAAAATATACTTTATATAGGGAGTTCAAGATTGAATAAAGATGGTGCCAAGAAATTAGGAACCATAAAAATTATTTAAATAAAAATCAGAAGGAAGACTTTTCACCATTTTCAAATTTTTGGTAAACAGGAACAATGCAAATTTCAAAGAAAAACTGATGTAGCTGTTAAACAGTCACTATAATCACTTTAGCATTAATAAATGAAGTGAAATACAGCGTTACGTATATAAAGGATGTACGTACTGTCAGCACACACAGGAAGTACAGTGATGCACACATGCGAAGGTGTACGTACCGGCAGTACTAGAAGATGTTATCTACTATTAGTACCTACATCTTTGTATCCATGCAACACTGCATTTCATTTCACTTACTAAAACTGTTTCCCTGCATTCTAATAGATGGCTTGTGGATTTGTCCTCTCTTCTTCAAGAAGTTACTAAGTTTCTCAAAGAGTAAGAATTTATTATTATTCTGTTATTATTCTTCGTAAGTTTACTATCATGTCCAACAGAATAAAATAAAATATATGGGATAAACTAAGGCTATATACCTGAACTGAACATACATAGTATTAAACAGTATGTAATAATAATTTTTAAAAATCAGGGAAGCCAATGCAGACCCAGAGGAGGTTTCCAATCTGGACCTGACCTGAGAGTATGAGCTGGAGACACGTACGGAATGGGGTCTGCTCCAGGCCGCTATCTCTCATTCCCTTCCTCCCTCCAAGTCCTCCTTTCTCACTGATGCTAAACTACAGTGTTTAAAAAATAACAAAACAAAACATTTTTAGGTCTAAAGTATACAAATCATGTGCTTAGCACTTCAGCTTCCTCAGCTATAAAGTAGGCTTGGTATCAAAGTGTTATAATTAGCTTGGATAGAAGATGATAAATAACTACGATACTTTACAAGTATCTAATATCTATTAAAAATACATAATTTCTTATTTAAACAAATAAACCTGGTAAGTGATTTGGTGCATTTTACTAGGAAGTATACTTAAATTTTATTTTCAATCATGACCTTAACGTCATTTTTAGCGACAGAAGTACAAAAAAAAAAAAAAAAAAAAAAAGACGTATGTTCACTTATGTAAATAGAAAGCCATAAATGCACACGCTTCAAATAATTATACAGACTCTAACTCTCCCCCTGGGTTGTAGAAACCGTCAATCTGATTTTCAAGCTCTGCTCTGCTTGCTAACCTTACCTGTGTTCAAGTGGTTCTGACCTCCTTCTTGGGTATGGAAAGAAATGGCACTAAGTTTTCCTTGTCTGAAACAGAGACTAAGAACTGCTGAAGACTAATTAACGTGCGGCAGGGAAAGAGAAGATGGCTGGTTAATCTCTAAGGATGTGTACTGAGAACATGTCCTCACGTCTTCACGCTGAAGAACAATGCCATTTAAAATAAACATTCTGACTCAACAGAACTGAAGGAACGGACCCTCGTGGTTCTGAAAGGCGGTCTCACTGACCTGGAAGCACACCACTGAGGGTTTCTGCACGGCCTCCCTCCGACTCTGTCCCTAACGCCACACTCCTTGTAACTGTTTTTTTAAGTCTGAGCAGCCACACAGAACATCCTAGCTGCTTAGTATTGTTTATTTAGTGCTTTCAAAGTGCACAGATCCTCTGACTAAATGATTGATGGATTTTTAAAAATTCTTGTAACAATTCTAGATAATCATAACCTAATTTTACAGAAAAGGAAACAGAACCTTAAAAATGTATTAAGTAATCTGAATAAGGAAATATAGCCAAGTGGTAAAACCAAGATTCAAACTCAAGTCATAATGCTCTTCATCACTAATTTACCATTAAAGAATGCCAATGCTGTATAATTTATTTTATTTTTCACTTGTCAGAAATGGCAGAATATTTTATAAACAGCAGTATACTGAGCATAGAAATATGTGAAATGGTTCTTACCTGTGTAAGCTAGGAATTTAAAGATAAAATTTTATTCTCTGGAAAAGGACAGAGCTTATAATGAGATATGCCAGTATCATCTGTGGAAATAGTTTTCAAAAAGTATGGAATGCAATATACTTCAAGAGATTTTATCTACTAAAAAGTAAAATATACCCATATGATGACACAAAATAAAAAATGGCAAAAGTATACAAACATGTGAGGAATTCTTCATAGTTCTGTTATTTGGTATCCGGTATAATCTTTCATTTTCTAAACTGGGTTACTTAGTAGAAGTCAGAGAAAAATATAATGTTTTCAAAAAGAGAACTAGGATCACACTACCTTAAGGCAGGGTCAGCAGAAAAGCAGAAAAACTGAATGTGAAGAAAACAAAATAAAACAAAACTGATAAAGGCCAGGATGTCTCAGCTAAATATAGCTCTGACTTCATACATAACCTGCTGGCTGTTCTCAACATTCCTTTCTCTTGACTTGCAAACTGAGGAGCAAGTCTCAGGCCTGGAGACACAGAGCAATGGGACTTTATGCCCCTCTTAACGTACAGTTTGCTCAAAGAATGTAACAGACACAATCATTTACAGCTTAAAAGATTCTGCTGAGTTTACATGCCCGAGACACCCTTTGGGAAAGCAACTGTAAAAAATGGAGAGACTCCTTTATGTGACTTCAAACAAAGCCTTGTGAATTGTACTTTTTAGAGTTCATTTTAATTAAAAATGTACCAACCTGTCACCAGGTCCTGCTCGATACCTTGCACCTGGGATCAGGACTGGGTCGTCATCACTATCGTCTGTGTCCTGGAGAGCCGAGTCCCCCGCTAATGTTTCCTCTTGAGCCAAAGGGCCGACAGCTTCTGTTTGTGACTGAGGCTCAGAAGTAGTGCTATTCTGATTGGTGGCACCTTCAGTGCTAGTTAGATCTGAAGTTTCTGGTTCCTTGTCTTGTTCAGACAACGTAGATTCTTCTATAACCCCACAAGAGCTATCAAGATTGAAGTCATTTCTTTCTCCTGAGCAGGAATCCAGCGGCTCAGATGTGAACTTATCTGATTGTGCTGTCAGAAAATAAAGTAGAAACAGCTGGTCAGGTCGGCAACATTATTTACTCTAACTTTAAAGCTGGCAGGCATTTCCTAATATAGGGAATTTCCCAATAGGGAGAGAAAAATTCCAAAACACATCCATTTGAAATGGCCTCAGGATTCGGGGCGCCTGGGTGGCTTAGTGGGTTAAGCGTCCGACTTTCGCTTAGGTCATGATCTCGCGGTTCGTGGGTTCGAGCCCCGCGTCGGGCTCTGTGCTGACTGCCAGCTCAGAGCCTGGAGCCTGTTTCGGAGTCTGTATCTCCCTCTCTCTCTGACCCTCTCCTGCTCATGCTGTCTCTCTCTCTCCTAAAAATAAAAAAAAAAAATTTAAAGAAGTAATTCTTGCTTCCTAGTGTTTTCACTTATCTGTGTGTGCGCACCTGTTCATACATATACCACGCTGCAGACGCAACACAAATTCTGTTGTGCGTGGAATGTCTGAAGTCGGAAACGCTCTGGAAAACACTGCGGCNTGCCAGCTCAGAGCCTGGAGCCTATTTCGGAGTCTGTGTCTCCCTCTCTCTCTGACCCTCCCCTGCTCACACTGTCTCTCTCTCTCTCTCTCTCTCTCTCTCCTAGAAATAAAAAAAAAAAAAAAGAAATGGCCTCAGGAGAGAGTAATATAAATTACGGCTTCTTATTTGCCCGCATGAAGTAATTATCTAAAGAGAAGAAGACAACCCACCTATATCTACGGGGTTCTGAGGTGTGTTTTCTGCAGGTGTATCTTCTTGACATGCTGTCGCATCCTCTGATGATTCCTCAAGAGCTTCTGGGAAATAAACCAAATTATCATTTTTATAAATGTTTATTTTGAGACAGAGACAGAGCATGAGCAGGGTAGAAGCAGAGAGAGGGGGAGACACAGAATCTGAAACAGGCTCCAGGCTCTGAGCTAGCTGTCAGCACAGAGTCTGACATGGGGCTCAAACTCAGGAGATCATGACCTGTGTCGAAGTCGGATGCTTAACCGACTGAGCTACCCAGGTGCCCCACCTAATTATCATTAAATCCAAATTTTTTAATAAAATAAACACCAACTGAATACTCTAGCTATCCTATATATAAGTAGTTCCTAATCCTTTTTGGATCATAGAATCTTCTAACGCTCAGTTGTGACCTCCCCTCAGTACAATGCAAATACCTATGTCCATTCCACACTGTACAAACACCAGTAAGGACGCAGGAGCAAATCTGCCCACCGCCTTCTCCCAAAGCCCAGACAAGGACCTTCATAAACTCATGGCGAAGAACTTCTGCTTCAGATTACCCCTCACAACTGACATTACTTGATCTTGCCTTTTTTTTCTAAACCTCACAAAATCTAAACTTAAAATTGAGGATTTTTCTATCCCTTTACTATGCACTTAGTATAATCTGAACAATCATGAACAAATAGTAAAGTTGGCCCTACCGTAAATCCCATTTTGGCCACTGAAAATACTTACTTCTGGGATTTAACTCTAAGACCCATTAGGGATCAGTCCTGTTTTGCTCCTAACTGCATACCTGCTTACGAGACAGTTGTTCTACATATATTTAATTTGTGTAAACTGTTACATTGAGGCATCTAGTCATTTAATAAGAAGTAAAATTCATTTATTTCTTCATTTACCAAGTATTATTTGAAAATATACTGTATTCCAGTACTGGCCATCATTCATTTCATGTCTTTTGTCTTTGATTAATGAGCTGCTTTTTCTATGATGGCCCATCACCAGCTATATTTATTTTTTAATACCTTTGTTATTGTACTAGGGTAAATTTTCGAGCATTAGTTCCATCGGATTTTGACCAGCCTTATGAAATAGCATACAGTCAAAAGGATGTACAACCGAAAGCAAATCAGTGATTACTGGGGGTTAGGGGGGAAGAGGGATGGGGTGTGACTGCTTAATGGCTATGGGGCTTCCTTTTGAGAGGATCAGAAAATGTCTTAGAACCATACAGATGCAGTGGTTGTACAAAACTGTGAATGTATTAATGGTCACTGGATTGTGTACTTAAATTTTTTTTTAATATTTGAGAGAGAGAGGGGCAGAGTGTAAATTGCGGAGGGGCAGAGAGAGAGGGAGACAAGACTCTGAAGCAGGCTCCAGGCTCTGAGCTGTCAGCACAGAGCCCAACGCGGGGCTCGAACTCACGAACCTCGAGATCATGACCTGAGCCGAAATCGGACGCTTAACTGACTGAGCCCCCGGGCATCACTGGATTGTGTACTTTAAAATGGTTAATTTATGTTACGTGAATTTCACCTCACTTAAAGAAAAAAGTGAATAAACATTATATGCTAACAAAAAAAAAAAAAAAAAGAAAGAACATTTCCTGTATTCAAGGCTCTGGACTAGGCACTAAATTTCACATACTGGTCATGTAAAATATTCTAGGAAAGGGTTCTGAAAAATTCCTAAATGGCATTTCTTTTTTTTTTTAATTTTTTAAAATGTTTTATTTCTTTCTGAGAGAGAGAGACAGCGTGAGCAGGGGAGGGTCAGAGAGAGAGGGAGACACAGAATCTGAAGCAGGCTCCAGGCTCTGAGCTGTCATCACAGAGCCCGATGCGGGGCTCGAACCCACGAACCGTGAGATCATGACCTGGGCTGAAGTCAGATGCTTAACCGACTGAGCCACCCAGGCGCCCCACTAAATGGCATTTCTTGTATGAAATAGTATTCACGCATAACTCATTAAAATTTTATTCCTTTTTCCCCCCTTTACAAGCCACCTATACTCTTTGAAAAAAAATCAAGGCAGACACTTTAGGTTTCACTGCTAGGTATAAAAGTGATAAAGACAATCCAAACTAACAATTACATCTCACATATTTTCAGTACAATGACCACCTGTCTCGGCCATCGTGTCCACTGAGGGGTGCTGTGCTTCACCGTGACTCCCTACCTTAAATGCTGAAGGCCTCTACCATCTGTGTTTGCTATCTGTTTATCAATAGTAGTGGCTGGACTTCTGAGGCAAAAGTAATACGTTAAAAACAAAAAAGGGGCGCCTGGGGGGCTTAGTCAGTTGAGTGTCCGACTCTTGCTTTTGGCTCAGGTCATGATCCCAGAGTCATGGGTTCAAGGCTCATGTCAGGTTCCATGCTGAGCTTAAGATTCTCTCTCTCCCTCCCTCTGCCCTTCTCCCGCTCTCTCCAAAATAACAACTAACTTACTAACCAAGAAGTAAAACTGCTGTATTGAAAGAACAGAAAAGTAGGTGGACATCAAACACTAGGGTTTGTAGTGACAAAAGAAACAACACCTTACTTGTCTCACTGTCTGCTGGTGGCAGCACAGGGCTCTGTGGGGCCAAGGATCCTTCCTGACCCTCAGATTTGCAGTGGCTCCCGTTTCCTCTAGAACTTGAGGCAGTACTGCTCCTATCGTCAACACAAAATAAGCAGTTCCACCAGGAAGTTAATAAATATGAACTTTTAGGATAATTTTTATATTTTACAGCTAGAGAAATGATCAAAAATTCACACAACAAATAAAATATAGGATTTATTATTTGAATAGTATTTGTAAAACACCACTTTCAAAGATCAGGTGATTATTCTGATCTTCTTTAATCTTAAAAAAGAGATTTAAAAATACAAAAGGACCACTTCTTCAAGGCTTTGATGCTTCTATTTATTTCAATACATTTCTATTGACTTTTAACTTAATTACAAGAACTCCCTTCTTGTCCTCCTCACAGATGGTTCACTACATCCAAATCCTTCCTGGGTTTACAGACTATGGCCTTTGGATTGCTGCTGCCCACACAGGGCAGGTGACTGAGCACCAGGGTTTGCAGAGGCTAGGACCATGTTTTCTGTTTTAGTTTTATTACCCACCTGGTCATGACTAATAATTCTGTCGGCATTTGTGGCTAGGGCAGAATCCTAGATGGGTTCAAATAAATAGTTTTCAATGAATGTTCTGTGATAAATCATGGCATATGTGTAAGGTGGGGATTAAATGGGAAAGAAAATAGAGGAAAATGTAAAACAATCCAGGATTAAAATTAAATTCATAGAAATGCAGTAATTTCTTAGATTTAGAATAAATGTGAACAAGAAAAAAAAACTTAAAGAGTTACAAGTAACTTAAAAACTGTTAATAACAGACAAATAGCAATGACTCAATAGACAATGCAAATTGTCGGGGACTTTTTGCCAAGAGTTTATAAGAACCCTTTTAGGCTAATTGCAGAAGTCAATTTGATTTTTTTCTTAAAGGCCACCCATGTATAATATGGTATTTTTAGAAAGACTGCATATCTACATGGGCAAATACGCAGAAAAAAATTTCAGAAAGGATACATATTAATGTTAAGCATCATCTCAGTAGGATTATTACAAGTGATTTTTTTTCACACTTTTCACTAGATTCTGAATTTTTTTTTGCAATGAACATGTTATTTCTTTTTACCCAGAAAGAAATATATAGGAATTTTGGTAAAGAGAAGCCAATATGATATATAAATCTTTTCTTTTTCCATCGAGAAAGCTATGGTACACGCATAAATAAAATGCTCAGTGTATTAGTTATGAGAATTGAAACATTATGATATTGATGTAGGAAAACAGAGCCATTAGTGGAAAAGACAATGTAACCAAGTAAACGTATTTAGCATATGTTAATATGGCATTTTAAATCACAGAAAAAAGTATAAACTGCTCAATCGATGGCAGCAGGACAAAGGAACAGTCATGTGGAGAAATTAAGCCATAGCTCTACATCACACTTTATGGCAGAATAAGTTGAAGAGGAATTAAACACATATTTCTGATAAAAAAAATCACAGAAATTATAAGAGGAAAATAAGAAGAAGCTTTCCCCCTAATCCTGGGAAGGACAGGTTTTTCTAAGCATGAGCTCACAGGCTGGAACCACAAAGCAAAACCACCATAAGTAAACTGAAAGGCAAACAACGAACTGGGAAAAATATCTGCAACAGATGAAAGACAAATGGTATCATCCTCCCTTAATTCTATAATAAACAGGTAAATAGTTCTTATACATCGATAAGAAAAAGATGAACACCGTAGTAGAAACATGGGCAGAGGGCAGGCCCGGCGATGGACAAGCAGTGATGGCAGAGCCAGCGCCCGGGCCTGTCGTGTACCAGGCAGCGAGCTGGGTGCTGTCCACTCCCGCGTGACCGCGTCAAATCTTTTCAACGAGCTTCTAAAGTAGGTTCTACTAGATATGCCTGTTTTCAGATGAAAAAACTGAGATTCAGAGAAGTTCCACAGCTTGTCAAGTTTAAGGTCTAAGCTCTTGGTGTGTGTGCCCTATTGCCTGATTGATCTGTCATCAAAGAAACTAAAATAAAAGCAAGACTGCGTACTGGCAGAGATGAAAAAGACCGCATACATTTTGAATTTTCCTTTTATAATTTTTTTCTTTTTTCTTTCATAAACAGGAAAAAGCTAATTACTTTCTGATAAAGAAATAAGAAACTAGTGAATGAGAGAATTTCATAGTCAGTTTTTAGAGAAGGCAAAGTAGCATTCAAAAGAAGAGTGGGACTAAAGATCTTTGCTAAAAAAAATTCTCAGGTGATATTCTTTGTAAAAAAATCAGCCTTTCCTGTACAGAAACTTGACAGTAGAACAAGAAAGACCATAAAGCACAACAATCTTGTTTGATCTTAAATTACGTATTAAGAAAAAGGGCCACAGATATCATAAGAAGTGAGTTCCAACACTAAGGCTCATAAAGAAATTGGAAATTCTACTGACTGCACCTTCACATATGCACTAGAATGCAACTTCTCACTATCTACCTCCACTGCTCTCATCCTGGTCCAAGACACACTGCCTCTCACCTTTCTTACCGTCACAGTCTTTTAACGGGCCGCTACCTATGGCCTATTCTCTACACAGCAATCGGAAACATCCTGTATCCTTTTCAATATGCTCCTCACCCCCCTGGGCTGACCTGACCTTCTTTGTATTACTTTCTCCTCTGGTCACCCCACTTCAGCCACAGTAGTTTTCTTAAAGATCCTCGAACATCTTTGGTCTGTTCCTGCGTCAGAGCCTTTGCACTGGCTTTCTCTGCCTACAAGGCTCTTGAGGGATGCATGGCTCACTCCTTCTTACCCTTTAGGTTTTTGTGCAAATGCTGTCTACTCAGTGATGCCTACCTTGCCCCAGGTCTCCCAGTCCCCTTACCTGCTGGATTCTCTTCCACAGCACTTAGTACCCTCTAACATGCTATACAATTCATTTATTTACTCTATTTATTGTCTGTCTGCCCCATCTAGAATATAACTTCCAATAGGGTAGGAATTTTTTTGTCAGTTTTTTTCACTGATATATTCCCAATGTCTAGAATAGTTTCTGGAACATAGAAGGATTTCAGTAATACTTGAAAATACTACTTAAAGATTTTAATGTAAATACATACACACATAAACACAAATGGAAACCAGTGAACCAGAATAAATAAATAAAATCACATTTCAACATATAATTATATATCAATAAACAATATATAACTATATATTATGTATATATTATATAAACATATAATATATAATAAACAGTTGACTACGTTAATATAATATTAATTATACAAAATAATTAATATACTGGTTATAAAATGATCCATATAATTACTACATATATTAATCATATAATTGTTACTATGTAATTATATATTACTGTATTGTTGATATGTTAAATCATATTAATATAGTAATAGTAATAAATTTAAATACAAAATTTTGGAGGCTATCTCAAGCAAAAGGCATGAGGCAGACCAAAAGAATTTAAGAAGCTCACATAACTTTCTTTAAGACATAAGATTTAACTAGATTAATGAGCCATAAATATAACCAGAAATGTCATTAAAGAGGACCTGACAGTCATCAAATAAAGTTCAACCTTACTAGTAATCAATTAAATAAAAATGACAATTATTTTAAAATCAAATATACAAATTAAAAATAAACTGCTATTGAACACTGGCCTGGGGACAGCAAAATGTGAACTTTCATATGCTGCTGGGAGACACGTAATGACAGAAGAGTCCTTTGAAAATAATTTGGCAGTATCTTTCGACTGAGATAGAGTTTACTTCTAAAAATACCTCTCAAATCAACCTTACAGGTAAAAAAAAAAAAGCTTGTAATCAAAGATATTCATTATTTTAAAAAAGGTAAACAAATTCACTGCCTGATTAAAGAAAAATGGATGAGTAAACTCTGGTATATTACACAGTTAATAAATTCATATTTATGAACACTAAGTAGAAATGTGGGAATATTCATTACAGAGTTAAGCCAAATAAATGCAGGAGAGAACAGAATATATACAGTATGATTAAAATTACATTTTAAAACTCAACCCCCAAATCATACATGCATACATATATGTATATGTGTGTGTGTATGTACACACACACACACACACACACACATATACACACACACACCTATGCAAAGGACCAAGACTGAAAAAAACTCCAAAATGTGAGGTTTATTTTTTTTTGCACTAATGGTCTATTGGTGATTAAAAATTATCTTTTGCATTTTCTATCAGAGGAAATATTCCAGGACCAACACCATCAGCATCACCTGGGAAGTTTTTGGAAATGCAAACTGTCTGATCCCACCTCAAATTTAACTGAGAGTGGGGCCCAGTAATCTGTGTTTTAACCTCTTCAAGCGATCCGAACCACACCAAGTTTGAGAACCAATGCATCAGAGCGAAACAAAACACAAAGATGATGAAGTGCTAAAAATAGTATCTAATACAATCCTACAAAATGGCTAAGAACAGCTTTACAAAAATATTAACTTACCATTCATCTGTAAAGTTCAGTTTTATTGTGCTTGTGGTTGTTCCTTCTGTGCTGTAGTGCAAACTTAAAACTGGTTCACCTGTCCCTGGTTTGGGGCTCAGCTTTTCATTATTGTTATCTGAAAATTGTGTTTAAAACATTTGAAAAAGTCTCTGAAACCAATAAAAAGATGACATTTCCTAAAATTTATAAAACTTAAATTAGGCTGCCCTTTTCATAGTTCTTTCTCCCATCTCTTATGGTTCTCACTTCAAGTTCAAAAGCAAGTGAAAGAAACACTATTTCAAAGTAGGCACTGCATCAAATACTAGCTTTGTGTACATGACTCCCTTCAATTCAGATGGAAATCACACACATTTGAGAGTCATATTTAGTCATTAGGAAATCAAAGAATATTGACAAGCAACGAATAGATTATAAACTGGGACTCTGATTTAACGGAATGCTCAGGATGCTCTTCTTCAGCTGCTAGAGTGTCTAGCCCAACCCGCGCTGGCCCCCCAGACGCCAGGGGTTCCGTAAAAACCCTGCTGCAGCTACAGGCTCTCAAAGTTTTTCTGTTCCTTCAAATTCACAGATTTATAATCCAGGAAAGGAGTATAGCCTGCACTCTTTTGGGAGGGGAGGGAAAGAGAATTTCATATGCTTTTGAGAGTTCTAAAACTCTCTGCTACAAGAGTGTACGTTTTGCCATATTTTCTCTTCCTCTCCTGACTAATCTTAGGAATTTGTTTTCTAAATTATGGAAATGGTAATTCCACTTGAAGAATCTATAAGGGATGTCTGTGATACATATCGATCTCAACATATTAAATTTTTGTAAAATGGCAAATAAAATCAAGAAATTCTACAGAAATTCATATAGACCACCCCAAAGTCATCCTTCCCTACCTCCCCGAAAGAGTACATAGATAGTCAAACACCAAATTAAATAAAGCTTAAAAATTTTTTTCTTTTTATCATGATTAATAGCTTGGGGGAACATTAACATACATAGAAAATACAAGCTGCTACATAATCAAACATGTAACATTTCTGCCAGTTGCTTGCAGAAAAAAAACTCTTCTGTGATATAACTGTTTTCCTGATACCAGTTTAAGAACTGATAAATTACTAAAAATAAGCCTTCTGTCTTGGAAAAGAACAAAAGCAGTAACAACTTCATAAAACCGAGATTATTCAGGCCCTTTGGTTATTACGTCCATTTTACACTGCAGTGAAGGGCTTGTATCGTTTTGCATTCCTCCTGAAGATGCGGGAGCACTTGTTCACAGACACTCTGACACCCTCTGCCCTAACTCTCACCCTGTGAGGTGTGGATAAGATTTACAATTAACAAGACTTCCAGTGCAGAACTGCAGTAGAGGGAAGGGATTCTCTCCTATGGTAACAAAACTCAGTGCTATCAGTTCTCGGGTCTTCACTTCTACCTCCTGAGAAACCCTCTCCTGTAATACTAATTGCTATGTGAAAATAACAGTGTCAATAAATTATAAAGCTGGCCTCCCAAATGGTAAAAACACTTGGTTTCTGTACTACTTCTGTTATGACTAGGTCACTGCCACAGCCACTGGGAATTAACAATCCAATCCAATTTCAAAGATTTGGTATTACATTCAGTGTTTTAAAGGAGGTACTTCATCAAACGGCATCCTAATAAAATAATTAACAGACGTTTCTCTTACATAAAATTATTAAGAATGGGACTTTTGTCCTACCCTTGACCAACTTTGAGAAATTTGCTGTTAGTCACTTGTCCACACATAGTCTTCCTTTATTCTTAATTACTGAAATTAAATTTCCCGTATTTTTAGTTGCTGAAATTTTTGGCCAACTGTCGCCCAAATTACAGTCATCTTCAGGCACTAGACTTGATGAGGACAGACAGCTGCAAGACTGAGTGATCCAGGAAACTAAGAGACAGAGCTGGGGCTGGTTCCTTTACTATCTCTCACAACACTTTATAAAGTGCTTTGCGATCTATTTTTCTTTTAAAGTAAAGAAGGAGTAGAAAACAAAAGCAGGTGTGAGAGAATTACAGGACTGAGTTTCTTATATCCACCTCAGTTACAGAAGTTGTAAGAAGCTATTTATACGCTGTATCAAAAATCTCCTTTTGTGTAAAATTAAAGAGGCAGTTATAGAGACTTGCATGCTAAAATTGCAGGAATACAATAAATAAAGAGCCGTTCAGAGGTCAGGATGGTATGGAAAATATCTTATTTACATTACAACACCGCACCCCCAAAAAGCAAGAAGCTTCCTAAGATGACCAATATTAATTAAACCGGCTTCCTTACGGTATCTACCACAAAGTTATTATTTATCTCTCATGAGTACAATCTACATATTGTTAAGTCATGTAAGACATAGTGGTATTTGTTTAATTTATAAAATGACTACTGTTGACAGAATTTGTTCATTTAGCTCGTTAACGAACTCACCAGCCTGGGGTAAAACTGGCCCACCGCTGCGTCAACAGAATGCACTCTTCTGTGCTGCACAAACTTCACACCCCTGGGTCTAGTTAACCCCTCACAGACCGCACGTAAGTAACACCGCCCAGCGTAACTAAGGCATTAACAAGAGTATCTATCCACAGGTTAGGGTTCCTCTCCTGGCTTGTTCCAGTCTGTTACTCAGTTAATACTCCTCTTCTTGATCATATACATCCTACCAGGTTGAATTTTCTCAGAAATGTAGATCCCTGGCTGACTAGTGAATTAATTAACAATTCTTTTCTGATACAATACATATTTGAAGCTACAAATGTCAAGACAAATTTACTTTAAAAAACTAAAAAGGGGCACCTGGGTGGCTCAGTCGATTGAGTGTCTGACTTCAGCTCGGGTCATGATCTCGTTTGTGGCTTGTGGGTTCGAGCCCCGCGTTGGGCTCTGTGCTGACAGCTCAGAGCCTGGAGCCTGCTTCCGATTCTGTGTCTCCCTCTCTCTGACCCTTTCCCACTCACACTCTGTCTCTCTCTCTCCCTCAAGAATAAATAAACATTAAAAAAAATAACTAAAAAATTAAATGTTTTACTTTTACTGTATTTGAAAAATATTTGTAACCACTTAAATTTTCCTTAACTTGGTCTATTTGTTAGAAGTTGGATCAGCAAACACAATCTAAAAACTATTATTCAGGGCCATCAGATTCTTGATCTCAGCTCAGGTCATAATCTCACGGTTCAGGAATTCGAGCGCCATCTCAGGCTCTGTGCTGACAGTGCAGGGTCTGCTTGGGATTCTCTCTCTCCCCCTCTCTGCCCCTCCCCTGCTCTCGCTCTCTCTCTCAAAAATAAACAAACATTGAAATATATATATTAAAAACTGTATTATGCAAAACCTCACACAATGCACAGAAATACAGAACTAAGATATTTTTTGTTTAGCAAGTAAAAGTTTTAATTTAAAAGCCTTTGGGGTTAGAACTTCACCTAAACAAATGAAATTTCTTAGGCATTACTATGTTCCAGGAGACAGGTATATCCGGTTCTAAACCTCCATTTTACAGCTGATTCTGAGCTAGACTTTTTCTCTAGCCATCTAGGCTTCCTTCTATACAGAGTTCCTACTGACTACACAGTCTTGGAAGTAGCTTGAATACAAAATAGGAAATAAGGCTGCTTAAATATTTTAGTTTAAAAATACCAATTGCTGGTGGTACTATTTCTCAGATGATGTATAATCCTTATCAGCAATATTAATATCAGTGATAAAAGTTCTGGTACCCCAAATTGTCAGTTTGGCCTCAGAGCACTGGAAAATTACGCTGTATCTTCTGGCAGGGCACTTAGAGACTGAACTATTTCTCCTTCTCCTAAAAATATTATAGGAGAATACAGTTAAATTGTGTGCTCTCGGCACAAGGGCAGTGTAGTGGGGGAGAATCACTTTTAACCTGTTTGACACCACTGAAGTTACAGATGGTGACTTTATACTGCTTACTGAAGAAGAGTCACTAAACACTGATGACAGCAGCTTGACTGCAAACAAGGCAAACTACCACCTGTTTTAAAAACACAAGTTTCAAAGGCACAATAAGAGCCACATAAAAATCAAGACCACATGCTATAAAATACTTCATTTTTAAGGTTACAAGTGAATAGTCAATAACATGAGATTCTGGAAACCAAATTTCAGAGATCCTCTTTAGATATGTTCTAAGATCCCTTTCAGATTAGTGTCTGACTCAGAAAAAAACTTTAGAACGGTCTGGAATATAATTTGAAAGCAACTTCTCTGAACTTTATTTAATTAGCTTCCAAAGCCTTTCACATATGAACCACAAACACATTTTTTCGGGTAACATGTATTCAAACCATTTAATCTGTGCAGTGACATTATGAAATTATAATCGTCTGTGGTTCTAAAAAACACAGGCTCAAAAGACATGCCAAAAATTAACTGTGCTAACAGTAGTACAAAATAGGCTCTACTGGTAACTCGGTTTGTATATCATCTAAATATTGACATGGATGTTTGAACTTTCAGCTAGGCTATATCCCCAGAAACCTATGCTATACGTAAATATAAAGAGTAATCAAAATTAAGATAAATAATGAGGCTATGGCCACAAATATTTGTTTAGCACCACTATGCCCAACATTTCTCTGCCCCTGGGTCACTATCATAACCGTACAATCATGCATTAATCACCACAGTAACTTAGGTAAGCTGTGGATATTACAGAAATAGTATATTCTTCTGAAAAGTACTTTCCAATGAACTTTTTTTTTCATGTTTATTTGTTTTTGAGAGAGAGAGAAACAGAGCGTGAGCAGGGGAAGGGAAGAGAGAGAGTGAGACACAGAACTAGAAGTAGGCTGCAGGCTCCGCGCTGTCAGCACAGAGCCCGAAACGGGACTCAAACTCATGAACTGTGAGAACATGACCTGAGCTGAAGTTGGACGTTCAGCCAACTGAGCCACCCAGGTGCCCCTGCAATGAACTTATTGACACTTCTCATTCCATTAAGTCAAATGTTAAAAAAAAAAAAAAAAACAACGAATCTAAAAGGAAATAAAACATATGGTGAAATTCTCTGGGAAAAAAAAATGTAGACACATCAACGATAAGGCTCTACTATCTTCCCAAATTTTGCTCCCAACTTACT